TTCCATCGGAAGCAATTGCCCAACGTGCAAAACCAAAGCCCACCAAACCCACGACCAGGGAGCCAACACCGACTCACAGCGCCCCCTGGTGTTGCAGCGTGGAGCAGCTCTGCGGGGGGTGGTGGTGGTGTTCTGGGCTGTGTCTTTCAGACTAGGGGTTTGAACTGCCCACCTTTTGGTGGGAGGGTGAACACAGACCATACAGAACGGCTTGATTAACATGTGTTGACTGAGCCCTTCTGAGTCTTCAAGGAGAACCGACAGGGGGGTCCTCAAGATGGGAAAGTTTAATGCCACAGGACAGCAACTCTGAGGACATGTAAAGACTTGTTTTTTCTTCCTGATCCGGGAGCCTTGCTTTGAAAGTTTGTTTATTCCCAGCTGAGTCAATGTGCACGTTAACCCTTAGGGCAGCAGACAGGAAGGGCTTTAGAGTTGAGTAAAGAGATGAGCTTGTCTCCCCCCAACCCCACCCCACCCCACCCCTCCAGGGGCAAAGCCTCCTGTCAAGCGGAACATCTGATGGAAGTTAAATGCACTTGCAGAAATAAATTGGTTGCCGTAGCAACCAGCCCTTGTTCTCCCCCAGAAGAAAAACATAGAAAGAGAAGGAGACCAAAAAAAAAAAAAAAAGCTAATTCTGGTCTAGGCTTGTGAGAAAGATCTGTCCAAAGAGAATGATGGGCACTGTGGTACCAGTAGGAAGTGCCATTTTGTGGGCTGGCCTCGTGTGGGGCCCGAGGCAGCCTGGTTCCCCATTGCTGCCACCCCTTACCCTACCCCCCACCCCCAGCTGTTCCCGTGGGCAGTGGAATGTTCCACCCCGGCAGACGACGCCTTCTGTCACTCTCAAAGTTGTACACGGCTCCTGGATCCAGGGGCTCCCGGAAGCGTGCCCCCATAGAGACCTTACAATGAGGAATTGGTTCTCCCAAGGGCTCTGGTGGTAAATGCTGATTTCTCTCTACAGATGGGTTCCAATCCGCCTGCTTGGGTTAGGAGAGGGCCCCAAAGCTCTCAGCTCGAGGAATGAGCTCGGAAGCTACTCTTCAGTGAGCATTTGGGGTCTCTTGGAAAAAAGCCACCCACCTATAGGGTGCAGGGAGGGGGGAGAAGGGCCATCAGGGGCGCTAGCTGCAGGGCTGTGGAAGGGTGGGTGCAGGTAACACCTCCTGACCATGGTTTGAACGAGCACCAGTGACCCTAATGCAGGGACACCAACCCGAACCAAACCCGTGGCCACGGAGCGGATTCTGACTTACAGTGAGCCTACAAAGGAGGCTACTCCTTTGGGTGTCTTGGGCTGTTTTTGAGGACTAAGGGGTGTCTAACTCAAGCCCTTGTCTTCTCAAGTGCCCCCTTGTACACGTGAAAGTTGGACATTGAGTAATGGTGTGCTGGCGAAGAAGTGGGGAGGTACCATGCACTGCCCAAAGAACGAGCCAGTCTGTCTCTGAAGACGTGCAGCCAGGACGCTCCTTTGAAGCAAGGGTGGGGAGCCTTTGTCTCACATACGTTGGTCACATCCCAGGGCAGAAGGAGGAATAGAAACCAGGAACCCAGGGAGAAAGTGGGCAGAGGGGCTGGTACAGGGAGAGGGCTGCAGTCAATGCCACAAAACAAAAGGCTTACAAGTGATTCAATGGAAAGCTAATTTGCCTGGTAAACTTTCTCCCAAACCATACAGGCCAAAAAAGTTTTTTTAAAATTGTGTTGTGTTCAGCCATTCGGTTTGGGTTATAATTGGGGATAATTTCTTATAGCAGCCACAGGTAATGAACTCGCCCGCATAGGGCCAGGCTGTGGGCCAGCTTCTGGGGAAACCACGTCATGAGGCCTGGTTCTCTCTCTCTGGGATTGCCCTGCAGGGATGCAGGCCAAAGAGAAGACTGGGGTTGAGTGAGGCTGTTTGGGGCTCTTGGCCTGATGGAGGAGCGGGCAGGGCTGTGGTGTGGGAAGACTTCTCAGACAGATATTTGTTTGGTGGATGGACTTGGGCAAGCAAGGCTGGGCAGAAACATCCTAGGTGGAGGGAGGCACATGTCTAAGGGGCTCCGCCCAGTATGGAGCCAGCAGGGCAGCAGGGGTGGGGGTCAGAGGAGACACGGCGCGGAGAGAGACGGCCTTGTGGGCAGAGCTGTTGCTGCCCCATGAGCGAGCAGATGCTCCGGAGGGTTTCAGGGCTGTGGTCTGTCACAAGAGCACATGACCAGCCCTGTCCCCTGGGGGCTAACCTGTCGGCTAGTGTTTGAGCACCTGATTTTGTGAGCAGGGCTGAACAACTAGAACCCCACCCGAGAGCTCTGGGGCACACGCTTGGGAAGGTGCTGAGCGGGGACTGACATGTTTTGATCAACCTGACTAGATCAACAATCTGGAAAGAGAGGCCGGCATAAAGAGTCAAGCGATAACAACAAAACCTGTCAGTGAGCCGGGCAAGGCGGCCCGTTCTTGCCGGGACGTGAGGGCCTCCTGTGGACTTCCCCATGGACGCACTCCTTGCTCTGATGCTGCCCCTCTCCGGCTCCCCTCCGCTTAAGCCTTGGCCACACCTCTGAGCCCTGATCCCATGTCTGCACCTGGATTTCACATCAGAGCTCTGATGCCACCTCTGAACCTCGATTGCATGTCTTAGTCTAAGCCTTGACCTTACCTACATTTTGAGAAGCCCTCTGAACTCCGAGGCCTGCGCTATAACTCACCTCTAAGCTCCGTCTCTTTCCCTAGGGACCAGGCACCAAGGAAAACACCAAGTGGGGAATAAAGCTGCGGCCACAGGAGCTCTGGGCCCACCATCCTTTCACAAACACAGTGTAAACGGCACGTGTGGATGACGTAGGGGAAGACAGTCAATGTTCCCTGATGCAGAAAAGCAGGAAAGGGCTCTGTGTGGGATGCAGAACCAGATGAAGAGGGTTGGGTGGGTGTCTGAGGCCTGCAGAAGTTGTGTTGCCTGTGGACTGTGAGCTGCCATGGGCCACGCCCCGTGCTGTGGTCCCAGGAGTCTTTCTCTGGATGCCTGCAGGAAGAACAGCAGGCCCAGTGCCCGGGTGCTGCCCCCGGCGAGGACTGGGCTCTTCTGTGGTCTGACTTCAGCCCCAACTTGAAATCAGCAGGGCCATTTTGGGCAGGTGGAAGATCAGTGGAGGTACAGAATCGGGAGTTCTGGAAGGTTAAGGTCAAGTCCAGACACTAGGCTAAAAACACCTTTGTCCTCAGCCCTACCTATGGGATACCTCTACAACACCCACCCACCCCACACACACACACACTTCAATGACAAAAATCAGGGCAGGTGGCTTTGATGGGGAGCCCAAGTTCATCTCCCTCCCAGAGCTGAGCATGGGAAGCCCAACCCCTAGCCGTGCCCGATCCTCATGAGCAAGCTCCCCTGACCTCTCCTGTCCCTCCTTCCCCAAGTCTGGCTGGGTTATTGGTGACCATGATGATGGTCATAGTTTATTTGAAACCCACCTTGCCTCTGGGGGCTGTACTCACTCTGCAATAATCACCATCTCATTAATGCCCTCGACAAGGTGGGCACTGTGCCCACTTTATAGATGAGAAGCCCGAGGCTCAAGGGCTTCAGCAACTCACCAGCATGTAGATGGTGGCACAGCCAGGATTCAAGTCTGAGTCTCCTACTGGTCAAGGCCAGAAGGTACCGGAAAAGGGAAGCCAGCTGTTTCCCTCCCCTGCCTTTTCTCTATCCATCCTGGCCCTCTGGACACACGGGCCATGACCATTTCAAGTCTTGAGTGGTTAAGGGCCTGCCACTGGGAATGGAGCAAGAGGTCCTACTTCCTGACACCTGCCTGCCTGACATCCCTGGAACAGTGCTTTCAGAAAGCCAGGGTGGGCTCGGTGGCCGCTGGCATCTGCTGAATGTGCTGGTCCCTGAATGGTACCTGGGCAGCTGCTGCTGAGAAGGATGGGACTTGGCATCCATCATGACGCCTTCGACCTATTGTCTCTCGTCTCCCCGAGGGGAGGCTCCGACACAGAGGGTGACAAGGACCCTTTGAGGAAGCAGGCTGCCCTACCCCCATCCCCTGCCGGGCCGAGATCCTGAGTGACCATCTGAAGGAATCGGATTGATGATACCAATTTTCACTCTGCCGGGTCCATTCGTTCTTGATTGTGCCTTCTTTTACGAGTTGGGGGGGAGGGGGGCTTCGGTGCCGAGGGGCTGTGTGATCCACACTATGATCACTGAGCCACCGGAGGGACGAATGGTGTCTTGGGTCATGCAGGAGGCAGAGCCCTCTCGGTCACCTTACCTGCCTCATCCTGTCGACTGCCGAAGGGGCTTCCCAGAAGATCCGGGGGTGTGTGGGGGGATCTGGGGATGCAGCGGCTGTTTCCCCAGTGTGTCAAGAGAAATGGTCTCGTTTCGGGGGAAAGCATGCTTCTAAGTGGTTCCCTGGTGACAGGTGGCTGGAGACAATTTATTTAAGGAGACAGGATGAGCTTCGCCTGCATGTGGGCAGGGTGTGCCTCTCCCCCAAGGGAGCTGGGCTATTAGGCAGCTTTTCAAAGACAGGGCAGGGCTGTACTCTCTCCCTGCACAAAACACCGAAAGCCCCCCTCCTTTCTGCGCTTGGCTTCACAGGTTCTGGGTCAGGTGCCCGGCCTCATTCATTCACTCACTCATTCACTCAACGACTCCACCTCCATTTACCAAGTCCCTGTGTCAGCTCCTGGGGGCCTGGAGACGAATAACAAGGCGGAGCTCTGCAGGCGGGGAGCCGGCTCTCTGGTGAGGGAGGGAGAGCCGGGTAGACTGACGCCACACGAGAGGCAGGTGCAGAGCAAGGTGCGGTGATTCATGTGGGATCTGGGATGGACTCTGAGCTGGGCAATGGATGCTCAGGTCCTCCAGAAGGGAGCCCAGGCTTGCAGTGTGAAATTAGACAGCAGCCTGAGGGCTGGGAGTGGTAAGTCCAGGGGAGGAGTGGCGGAGGTTTGCCGAGCCAGACCTTGAGAGAGCCGGTTGGGTCTTATAGCCTGAAGGCCACAGGGAGATGGGTGCATTTGTAAGCCGGACAGAGTGGCGCTTCATTACGCATGCAGCCCGTGGTTCCAGAAACCTCACTGAGGATGCGGTGGGGCGCGGAGCCGGAGAGGACCCAGCGGTAGAGAAAGAGACTGGAGGAGGCCGAGGATGTGAGCTGTAATGGCAGCAGCGGGCATGGCTGCCAAAGGGGGAGGGGTCAAGACACCCAGGAATTAATACCACTGGCACTTGGTGACTTACAGGATGCAACCAGGGAGAAGGAGGGAATGAATGTCACTCCTGGGAACCTGGGTTGGGGACCTGGAGAGGCAACAGGGGCCCTGGTTTAGGAATGCTTTCCACTTCAGGGAATAGAAACAGAGCTCCCAATGGCTTAAGTCGTAAAGTCAGTTCATGAACTCACACGTTGAGTTTAGCGGTCTGGAGAGGAGTCACCTAGGGCTGGTTTAGCATCTGCTTCCCCATCCTCAGTGGGTTGTTGGTTAACCTCTTGGTGGCGAGCTGGCTGCTGCAGCTCCCGGCATCCTTACTGACCAGAAAGCCCAAATGGCCAAGATAAAGTCTGACCTCCCATATGATGTTTACCACCACTGGGGGAACCAGCCCCTTCAGTAATTCCCCTACTTTTTAGGAGGGGGAAACGATGGTGGCAAAACAGAGAAAGCAAAGAATTCGCCATCTTAACCCTTTTTAAGGATACACTTTGATGATGTTGATAGTATCCCTCACGCATCAACATCTCTGTCTCCAAATGCCTTTCCTCGCCCCACACAGCGCTCAGCCACTGTTCTTCAGTCTGGGGATTCCCTTCCCCTCCGATAACACCCCCACCCCACAGATGACACTCCGGAGGTTCAGAGACACACTCAGAGTCTCAGGTCCAGCAAGCAGCAGACACAAAAATCCAGCCCAGGTGGGGCTCTCCACCACTGTTCCCAAGCCTTTCCACCAACGTCCATAAAGTATCTACGTGGACAGTGGGTGGACAGTGGGCTGGGGCCAGTGAAGGCCTGGGGACTGCCATCGCCTCTCCCCTCCTCTCCCCCAGGCTGGCTGGGAGCGAGCTGCCCAGAGAGAGAGGAGAGATGCAGTTGGCAAAACACATTAGCATCTTCCTCTCCGCTAATTAGTTTTGTGAAAAATTATTTATCTATTTATTTTCACCAGAGAGCAATTGGCTGCGGAAATGCGGTGACATGTTTTACATGAAAGGGAGAGACAAGGAAAATGTCACTCACAGCCAGGTCTAAATCATTTCCCGCCGGGACCCAGCCGATTTCCGGGCGGGGGTGGGGGTGAGGGGGGGGCCGCCTGAGGAGCCAGGCCGTGTGGGGGTGGTGGGGAGAGCCCGTGATTGGCACTCAAGGTATAGCTGTGCAAGCAAGACAACATCTGGGTCTTGCGCCTTGCTGTTATCTGCTGGGGGGCTGGCCCCAACTCTTGGGGACCCCAGGCACGACAGAACCAAACGTTACCCCTTCCTGTTTCAGCTCTGCCCTTGGTGAAGGTTCCCAGGGTTGTGCTGATCTGGGGAAGTCAAGAACGGGCAGGGCCATCCTCCCAGTGCTTCCTAACCTGGACGCCCCGAATCCTGGTCAGCATCGTGTTGTTGTTGCGTCCGGGCTGCTTTCCCATTGGTTAGACTCTGAAGCAACCCACCGTGGCACAGGACAGACACAGCCCCACCCTGAGCCATCTGTACAGTCGTCATTGTTGCCTTGTGTCCCCGCGTCTCGCTGAGGGTCTTCCTCATTTTCAGCCTCGTAGCCCCATGCAAACCACCACTGACAGACAGGTGTGAACCCCCTGGGCAGCGGGCTACTGAGGGCTCCTGGGACAGGGAGGGAACACAACAGGAGATGGAGGAACTAGACACAAGACCCAGCTCCGGCAGAGGGCGAGGACCCAAAGAGGACTCGACTCTGCTCGGTCTCTCTCTCCTCTACAGAAAGGCTGGTGGCACCAGGGAGGTGTCTGTAATGTCTAGTGGGCATAATCCCTAACCACCGCTGTTCCTACCTCATCCTTCCATCTCTTACCGACCTTAAAAGAATACGATGCTCACGGTAGCCGCTCTTTCTGAGCGAAGTAAAAATGGTGGCTTGCAGATATGTTATCCGGAGAGACCGGTCCCTGGAGAAGGACTTCATGCGTGGTAAAGTCGAAGGGCAGTGAAACAGAGGAAGACCCTCACTAACGTGCACTGACACCCTGGCTGCCACGATGGGCTCAAACATGACAATCGTGAGGCCGGTGCAGGGCTGGCGGTGTTTCCTGCTGTTGTCCGTGGGGTCGCTGAGACAGCCAACTCCAACCTACCTATCAACAGCGGCAGCAGCAGCAGCAGCAGCAGCATGCTTTTAAGAAGGCCGAGGTGGGTATTTTCGGTTTAGGGTTTAAAGATGATCTCTTTCATGGTTTCAGGGGCGCACCCAGTTTCCACAGCTCTAGAAAATCTGAATTTCTTGAGAACTTGAAATTCCATTCTGTGTTTGGTCATAGGGTCTTGGACCAAAATGTTCAGTAAGGGGTAGCTAGACTGCCCAGTGTTGCTTGAGAGGGTAAAATATACGGGGGTTTGGTGAAAGAAGTCACACTGCAGCAATGCTATAGAGTATGTGTGATTGATAGTAACTAGCTCTGTACTGTAATAAAACTCACTCACTGCCATCGAGTCGATTCTGCTCAGAGCCACCCTACAGGACAAGGCAGAACTGCCCCTGTGGGTTTTCGAGACTGTAACTCTTTAGGGGAGTAGAAATCCCCATCCTTCTCCCCTTGTAATGATAATAAAAATCACATTTTATGAAGCAGAAAAAGAGGATGCAGTTTGGTATGCAGAATAGGTTCCAGTTTTCAAAAAGTAGTAGATCTACATAGACGTACAAAATAGAAGCTTTATGTTCATTCCACGAAAAGACAGATTGCTTTCTTATTAGAAAAGCTGAACACCGCCCCCGCCCCCGCCCCACAGGTTGTTAAAGATGAAAAAAGGATGATTTTTCTAGTCTAAAATTCTGAGCGAATCTAAACAGAGAGACCCGTCCTCTGGGGTAGACTCCGGAAGTCCTGAGGGAACGCGGCTCAGGTGTGTGCTTGACTGCGACGGGCACATTGGTGGTCACACTCAGCAGGTGGCCACAAAGAGGATGACCTCGGAAGGATGGGGCAGCCCTATGCTTTAGAAGACAGTCGCTCTGAATTGGAATCAACACGACAATGGGTGTAGCTCTGTTCTCGGTGCCCAGTTGGCTGGGAGTGGCTGCCTCAGAAGCTGGTCGGCTGCTGGCTGGGATGGTTTGGGAATCTGGGTGCTTTAGAGAAACAAATCCACAGAAACTCATCTATAAGAGAGAATTTTATATAAAGGGTAAGTGTGCATCAAGAAAACATCTGAGCCCAGTGCTGCCCAAGCCCACAAGTCCAACATTAACCCATATGTCCAACACCAATCCACAAAGTCCTCCTCCATCTCACAAAGCAGACACAATGATGCCGACTGCAGGAAGAAAGCCAAGTCAGTGAATGTGTAAACATCTCAGCGCTGGCAGGGGTCTCCACACGGGTGCTCCAGCACCTAGGGCTGCATCGGGGTAGGTCCATGTGGCTTCTCCTTGGGGATGTCTTGTAGGAAGTGAGCCTTGCAAGCTGAAGCAGGGAACTGCTAAGGCAGCTGCACCTTGGTGTGACCATCACAAAGCAAACGACCCGAGAACCAGAAAGGTGAGGTTCACCAAGCCATTTATCCCTCTGCCCTTCAATTAATCCCACATGTGTTTATCGGCCAGGTTGACACCATAAACTAACTCAGAAGGCGAGGGTAGCTTGTGTCTCTCATCATCCAACAGGCTAGCCTGGGATCACTCCCTTTAATGACTTAAAGGGTTGCTAGATTACAAAGAAGTCCAAGACCTCTTGTAACTTAGGCTGGGAAACCACATTCCTAGCCTTCTGTTAGTCAAAGCCATATACAGTGAACCCTCGCCACTTTGCGCTTCGACTTCCGCGGCTTCACTCTATCGCGGTTTTTGTGTAACAGCACATGCTCTGTCATTACTGCCACTGATTGGCTCATACTGTACACGCTTGATGCCATAAATAATATAATAAATAATAAATGATAATTGTAACGTCCAAAATGTTTTACTGTATTTTCCCTTTTTCGTTTAATAAATTGGGTAATACGAGTGTAATGGTGACTAAAGGGTATTTTTTCATGTCCTCTATGCTCTAACTACGAAAGTATTTGATTTACAAATAAGGAATCCTACTTCGCGGAATTTCATTTATCACGGTAGGGTCTAGAACCGCTTAACCGCGATAAACGAGGGTTCACTGTAACTTCAGCCGGGATTCAAGGGGTGGTTGAATAAGACTGCACTGCCTCTTTATGGGAGGAGCTACAGCGGATTATAACTCTGCAAGCTGGAGATCCTGAGAGGTGCAAACTGTGCACATTCTCGGTTCCGACAGTTTGCAGGTCCAGATCCACACAGAAGGGCCCTGAAAGAAAGGTCCAGTGATCTACTTCTGAGAAGTGATCCTTGAACGCCTTCTACAGCACAGTTGTTTTCTGATGTCCCCGGGCCTGGCATCATCAGCGCCAACTCAATAGCAACTGACTCTACCCGGAGAACTGCCATCAGGAGCCCATTCCCACGCCCATCAACCTACGTGCCCCTGTGGGTTTCTGAGACTGTAACTGTTGATGGGTGTAAAAGGCCTCCTCTTTCTCCCTCAGAGTAGCTGGTGGTTTCAAACTGTTGACTTGGCAATTAGCAGTCCAAGGAGTAAACCACTAGGGTGCTTCATATGCATGTGAAAGTGTATATTGAAGAAAGAAGATTGAAGAAAATCGATGCATTTGAAGTGTGGTGTTGACAAAGATATTGAAAGTACCATGGGCTGCCGAAAGAACCAGCCACTCTGTCTTGGCAGAAGCCTAGCTAGAAAACTCCTGTAGAGGCAAGGATGGTGAGACTTGGTCTTGCATACTCTGACAAGTTATCATAAGAGACCAAACCCATACTAACTGCCATCTAGTTAATGCCAACTCACAGTGACCGAATAGGACCCTATAAGACTGCCCATGGGAGTTTCTGAGATGGAACTGTTTATGGGAGTAGAAAGCCCCCTCTCTCTCCCTTGGAATGGCTGGTGGTTTTGAACTGCTGACTT